TCCCACAGGCAGAATTGTGAGGCTGTGCCCGAGGGTGTGGCTGGTCTGAGCTCAGGAGTGGGAGGAGGTGCTCCTATCTGGTGCTCAATGTTCCTACTTCTCCAGGTTTTTGCACGGAGCCTCCTGCTGATCCTCAGAACAACAGTGACAGGAGAAGATGGTGACACGGCTTCTGATAAACTGTCCCCAGGTAGGAGTAGAGGAATAGAATGACATGAGGTAGTACCAGGAGTGCCCAGGCTTCCTGGACCCTCTGTTTTGAGTTTCTTTTGGACGGATTCCAAGATGAGACTTCCGATCAGACCGTCCCATTCTGCTGTTTGAAGCTGCTTTTGTGTATGTTTATTTTGTTTTATTTAGCCTTGGGGCCGACCCAGTGGTGCATGAGGAGTACTCAAATCTCAGTGCTCAATGCTCATTCCTGAAAGGTCTAGGTGACCAATGGGATGCTGGAGGTCCAAAGGTTTCATCTTGGGTTTTCTGTTTTCTTTGGGGTGGCAGAGCAAGGATTCTTGCAATCATTTCTTGGGCTGCCCTCTGGTATTGCCCCTGGCAGTGCTTGTGGACCATATGGGATGTTGTGGACCACCAGTCCTACATGCTGTCCCTGGAACAGCTGTCTTGTTACGCCAACCTGCTGCTTCGGCTTCTTTTGCATTGTTTTTGTCATCAGCTGTCCTCTTGACTCTGTGCTCTGGATTCACAACTGACTGGCCTCAAAGCACCCTGGGGTGGCTGGCCCCGTTTGCGCCCTGGCAACTACAGTGACTTGGGCCCCCAGACTTGCTTTTCTCCTGTTTTGTCCTTCCTACTTTAGAGAGACTACCTGCTCGGTCATATAGTCTTACGTTCACATAATCTTGTGTGTGGATTTCTGGGCATGCGCCGATCCCAAGGAGAAAGAGCCAAGGATCTCTGTGGCTAGTAGAGATGTTGGGATCAAGAAACTTCTACCTTATTTGAGCGGGATTTGGGGCGGTACAGTGCAGTGAGTTGCTACAGGCACACATGCCATGCACTGCTCTGAGTAGTTGTCTATACGGACTGTCGAGTTCTAAATCCTAGTGGTCATGAGCTGTGTGGGTGCAGCGGTGAGCGTGCAGTGTTTTTTGCTACACCCAGGGATAGTCATTTGGATCGTACAAGTCTGTGTTCAGGTGATCCTCTCTACAGTGCTCACTGGACCAGTGGTGCTCGAATTGGCCGGGTGGTTACCAGGAAAGGCAGATACATCCAAGAACCTTCTGTATAACATCCTCCCACTTTAGCAGATCCAGTTCCCTTATGTGATTTTTGGGGCCCGTCAGTCATGCGTGAGCATGGAGGCTGGTTCATTCGAAGTGGAGAGGCCCAGCGACAATATAGGACCCTGGGACCTGGCCTCAGAGTAGTGGGAATGAGGCTAAGATAGACTCTGACTCCCACCCTCTTCGTGTGCTGACTCAGGACGCAGTGACCTTCCATGATGTGGCTGTGAACTTCACCCCAGAGGAATGGTCATGCCTGGAGGCCTCTCAGCGGAAGCTCTACAGGGACGTGATGCTGGAGACCTACCAGAATCTGCAGGCTGTCGGTGAGAGCAGTGTGGAGCCAACCATGTCTGAAAAGACCCACGTTGGCTCCCTGGGGTTGGGCGGCAGCTGTGTGTCCAACAGTAGCTCTGTGACTGGCGTGCAGTAGCTCTTCCCTCCCTCGTTTTTTTTTAGGGTTCACCTGTGGATACTCAGGGCTTACTCTCAGCTTTGTCTTCAGGAATTACTCTTGTGGGGTAGCCGGACCGTATGGGGTGATTCAGATCAACCGTTTTCGACTGTGTCCATGGGAAGATCCCTATCTGCCCAGTTATCACTCAGGTCCCTTTAAATACTTCCATCCATTGGTGCAACAATTTACTTTGTGTACTACACAAAATTTTGTGTGTTTAATTGGTTTTGCTGTTGCCTTTGTTTGGGGGGCACAGTCCACAGTTATCTTGGCTCTGTGCTAAAGGATGACACCTAAGAGTGTTCAGGGGCCATTTGGAACCATATATTGAAACCTCTTGGCAAGTTAAACTGTCGATGCCTAACCCCCCGTACTTTTGCTCCAGTCACTCAAGTCAGACGGTTTTTGCATTTTCTTTTTTCCTTAGGGATTAGGGATTATTCCTGCCTTTGTATTCAGGATCCACACCTGGACTTGCTCCAAGACCATATGGGCTGCCTGGGATCAAACCCACATGTGTGTGCAGCGCTTCTGTCTTATCTGCTGTACTATCTCTTTCACACCACAGGATATTTGATATCTCGTCTCTCAACTCATTAGACGCAGCCCTATTTCAGTGCTTTGATTTACTTCTAATGGTTCTTGTGAGACTTCAGCAAGACTTAGGTTTTGCTTCTGGACTCTGCACTCAGGGATCGCTCCTGGCTGGCATGAGGGACCCTAGGAGATATCGGGTATCGCAACTGGATTGTCCGTGAGAAACTCCTGCTGTGCTCTCTTTCTGGATACATTTTTAGCTTAAAAAATAAGGGTCTCTTGTCACCCTTGGCCATTTCCAGATTTATTTCCACTTAGTTTTACTGAAATCCGTGAAAAGTTCATGAGGGGCTCAGGAAACCCCATGTGCTGCAGGGCCTAGAGAGACAGTACAGGGAGGAAAGTGATTTTCTTGCAAGTGGCGCACGTGGGTTAAATTCCCGGCAACCCATGTCATCCCCGAGCACCAGCAGCAGTGATTTCTGAATACAGAGTCAGGAGTCTGCCCTGATCATTGTCAGGTGAGACCCAAAACAAGACAAAAAACAAAAACATACTGTGCTAATCAACCCCCTGTCGGTCATACACAAGGCCAGGTCTAGAGTATTTGTGATATTTTCTTGGGTCTTAACTCTTGAATAACTAGAAATATGTGGAATTTTGGAAATGGACATTCTGTTCATGCTTTTCAGATATATGCCCACTTATATCAGGAAAACATGGGCATTTACCTGTCACCTTTTCCCTGTGACTTATCCATGCCTCTGTCTCTGTTGGGGCAGGGCACACTGGAATGAAGCCTGCAGTGATCTCCTGGCTGGAAGGAGGAGCCCTGATGTCGGGGAGGAGAGGCGTATGTGCGGGTGAGTGTCTGAGGACCCTTCCTGGCTCAGGCGCGGTGCAGTGTATGGGTGCCCTGAGCATGTGTGAAACATGCTGCTGAGGCCGGGGCCTTGGTGTCCTGGATCCTTGGGTCTGTGCCGCACTCAAGCTGCTCTTCATTTCCCTGGACTGTCAATCACAGAATGATCCTGTAATTTGCTTCCATGGCTTTCGAATAAATAACACCATAACAGAGATAGTTTGGATCTAAACGATAGTACAGCAGGGAGCGCCTTGAAGTGCCTGAATGTGACCTGTTCAATAATCTGTTTAATAACCTGGTTCCCCGAACATCACAGGTCTGCTCAAAAACAAAAACATAACCTAGTGTAGAATTGCCAAGATCCTCACAGTTTTCCACTATCCGAATCTTTTGTTTAGTGTGGGACTCTTTGGACTTTGAGAACCACAGAGATGCACTCTTAACTACATGGCATCATTTTGCTACATATTGTGACATGTGTGACATGTGTGAATTGCATGTTCTCTTCAGTTACAGAACTGAAACCGCGACTTCAGGATTTGGCAGTACAGCACTTTGATTTGGGAATGGGGTCAGCAAGTACGAGTGAGTTGGTAAGATTCACGAATACAGAATAAATATTATTATGCCAGCAGGAGTGGACCAAGTATGTGATTGTAAAGGTGGAAGGCTGGGATTGGCAGGGAGAAATTCCAAAACCTGATGCTTGGAGTAGAGGACTCTTAGCTTTGCTAGGTGCTGAAATTCACCATGTATAAAAAGTACTGTGAGTTTTGATTGACTTGACAGTGGTAGTTGTTTAGAAAGCTAATTTCTGCACCCTAGAGATGGTGCAGTGAGAAATATACTTGTTTTGCTTAGTAATGGATCGTCCTTACCCAGCACGCCTTATAGACAGCATAGACCCACAGAACTGATCCTAGACACTGCATGGTGTGCCCCTCCACCCACCCAACCACAAGTAAATAGAAACAACAAAAAAGAAAGAAAAAAAATTTCATTGATCCTGAAAGGCATCACTTGTGGTGAGAGAATTGCAATGGCCAGGTGGTCTGCTTCAGCTGCGTTACGATGCAGCGTAGTCTTCACCACTGCATCACAGGTTCCACACGGAACTTTAACCAAACCGACATGTGGATCTATTCATTTTCTCCTGAAATGGATGTGTCCGTTTTCTATAGAAGGAATTATTTCTAGTTGTATTCCTTCATTAATTTAAAAGGGGGGAAAGTCACAGAATTTACTATCTATCCATCAATGTTGTGCGTCCAACTTACGGTAACATGAAGTTATTCAATAGTAAGACAATTCATATGTCAGTAATTGCGTTTTTGCGGTGCATATGTGTGAAACTACATCTGGAGGGCTCAGTTTTTTTGACAGGAAGACTCAGTGAATAAGTCAATAATTAGAATCCTCTGTTGTTCTACAGGAAAGCTGCCACCCCGAGTGGAATGTCTCTGATCCTGCACTGTATGATAATGTCTCGAGTGATCAATCCTGCCCTCAGCCCCATGAGGACACCGAGACAGGCGGGATGTTGTCTGAGGGTGATCAGAATGGTGAGAGCTACCTCACTCTGAAGAAGCCCTCTCCTGGAAAAAGTTCCTTGGAGTGTGTTATTCTCAGTTCACAGACACAGAATTCCCCAATTGGGCACCTGCTATGGAGAGAAGCACTGTTTATAGTGAGTCCCTCACAGCAACATACCCTCAACCACAGTCACCGTGAGCAGAACCCATATAGGTGTAAGGAATGTGGGGGAGCCTCCCCATGTTCTCATCACTGTGGTGTTCCCTTAGAAAACCACAGTGGACAGAATCCCCAGAAATGTCAGCCCCAAGAACAAAGTATGAGTCAAGGGTTACTCCATCATGACCATATGAATATAAATTCAGGAGCGAAACCTTTTGCATGTGAAGCATGTGGGAAGGCCTTCGATCAATCATCACATCTTATTATGCATAGGAGAATTCATACAGGAGAGAAACCTCATGAATGTCAGACATGTGGGAAGGCCTTTATTCAGACCTCTAGTCTTAATAGACCTATGAAAATGCATAGTGGAGAGAAGCCTTATATATGTCAGGAGTGTGCTAATGCCTTTACTCGATCCTCAGGCCTCAGTATACATAGAAGTATTCACACTGGAGAGAAACCATATATATGTAAGGAATGTGGGAAGGCCTTTTCGAAAGCCTCAAATCTTAGTGAACATAGGAGAATTTACACAGGAGAAAAACCGTATATATGTAAGAAATGTGGGAAGGCCTTTGCGAAAGCCTCAAATCTTAGTGTACATAGGAGAATTCACACTGGAGAGAAACCGTATATATGTAAGGAGTGTGGAAAGGCCTTTGCTCAATCCTCAAGACTTAGTGAACATAGGAGAATTCACACTGGAGTGAAACCGTATATATGTAAGGAATGTGGAAAGACCTTTGCTTTGGCCTCAAGACTTAGTGAACATTGGAAAATTCACACTGGAGAGAGACCCTATGTTTGTCAGGAATGTGGAAAGACCTTTATTTTGACCTCAAAACTTAGTGTACATAGGAGAATTCACACTGGAGAGAAACCGTATATATGTAAGGAATGTGGGAAGTCCTTTGCTGAAGCCTCAAGCCTTCGTGTACATGGGAGAATTCACACTGGAGAGAAACCGTATATATATAAGGAATGTGGGAAGTCCTTTACTGAAGCCTCAAACCTTAGTGTACATAGGAGAATTCACACTGGAGAGAAACCGTATATATGTAAGGAATGTGGGAATGCCTTTGCTACAGCCTCGAGCCTTAATGTACATAGGAGAATTCACACTGGAGAGAAACCGTATATATGTAAGGAATGTGGGAAGTCCTTTACTGAAGCCTCAAACTTTAGTGTACATAGGAGAATTCACACTGGAGAGAAACCGTATATATGTAAGGAATGTGGGAATGCCTTTGCTACAGCCTCAAGCCTTAATGTACATAGGAGAATTCACACTGGAGAGAAACCGTATATATGTAAGGAATGTGGAAAGGCCTTTGCTACAGCCTCAAGCCTTAATGTACATAGGAGAATTCACACTGGAGAGAAACCGTATATATGTAATGAATGTGGAAAGGCCTTTGTTTTGGCCTCAAGACTTAGTGTACATAGGAGAATTCACACTGGAGAGAAACCGTATATATGTAAGGAATGTGGGAAGGCCTTTGCTCAATTCTCAAGCCTTACTATACATAGGAGAATTCACACTGGAGAGAAACCGTATATATGTAAGGAATGTGAGAAGGCCTTTGCTCAATCCTCAAGACTTAGTGAACATAGGAGAATTCACACTGGAGTGAAACCGTATATATGTAAGGAATGTGGAAAGACCTTTGCTTTGGCCTCAAGACTTAGTGAACATTGGAAAATTCACACTGGAGAGAGACCCTATGTTTGTCAGGAATGTGGAAAGACCTTTATTTTGGGCTCAAAACTTAGTGTACATAGGAGAATTCACACTGGAGAGAAACCGTATATATGTAAGGAATGTGGGAAGTCCTTTGCTGAAGCCTCAAGCCTTCGTGTACATAGGAGAATTCACACTGGAGATAAACCATAATATATGTAAGGAATGCGGAAATGCCTTTACTTCATCCTCGCAATTGACTATACATAGGAGAATTCACAGTGGAGAGAAACCGTATATATGTAAGGAATGTGGGAAGTACTTTGCTGAAGCCTGCTGATTTTCACCCGGGCTACACCTATGCCAGTATTTTTGTGCTTGGAATTGCTTGTGTGTTAACTTGTAATCAATGGGTCATGGTGATGAAAATAAGGACGAAGTTGACTGAATAAACAGGTACAGAAACAAACTCCTGCTCAGAGCTGTCATGGTTCACTACTCTATTATTGTTTGCTATGCTCTGGCTTGGCCCAGTGGGACTGGTTAGCGGGAATTATGGCAGAAATCAACGAAGATGCAGCATTGAATACTTTGAAAATGGAAAAAATAGGTAATCCTTCATTCTTCAGTATTTCCTGTGTTAGGATTTGGGATGCTTGAGCACCCTGGTTTGGCAACTTGAGCGCCAGGTCTAGCCAGCTTGTATGGTGCATTCAAGTTTGTTTCTTACTTGTTCTGGATATCCAAGCTTTCGTAGATGTGGAACTTTTGAGGGGTGCATTGGGTGCTGTTCTGTCGCTCAGGTGTCATGGGTGAAGGTGCGTTATCCTGAGGGCCCCTGCAGCCACCATCGATCCAGGTCCAAGACGGCACTGGAGGTTGGGCACATGGACTTCAGGCCTTGGTGTGAGGAGCCTGCAAAGAGTGGGGGTCTTGGTCATCTCGTTCCTTCCTACTGGAGACTGTGAAGGACCCTGTTTGGAGCCTTTGGACTGGAAATAACACTTATCAAAACTCCAAATATGTTCATGGGCAGCCCCCAAAGGAAAGGGACACTTTTGCCGTCGGTCATTTTCATTGGATTCAGTGCTGGGTTTGGCACTTTGGGGTGTGTTTAGACAAGTGAGAGGTATATGCCTTGAAAATTTACTCTTTGGATTATAATTTTTTTTTGCTCTTTGTGTCACACTCAGCGTTTCGCATGGGTTTCTCCTGACTTATGCACTCAGGAATTACTCCTGGTAAAGCTCAGGTGACCATATTGTTTCTGGGATTCGAACCCGGGTTGGTCACGTGCAAGTCAAACCTCTTACCCGCTCTGCTATCACTTCAGCCCCTCTTTAGATTAATTTTAATAGCTGCTTTTATTCAGGGGTGTTGGAAGGGATTCTTTGATGCACAAGTTTTACTTCTGGTTTTGCATCTCAGGAATTATTCTGTGGTGCTGCTGGGTACCTATCGGATGGGGAGGCTAGCATCCTAGTCGCTTCACAGTGATTCCAACCCCACTATTGGTGTTTTTTTCCCCATATATAGAATTTCTACAACACGGGATTATGGTACTGCCAGCAGGTCAATCTGTGCTGTAAGGCGACTGCATCAGCAGCCTGATGGCACCATCAGACTTCCAGATACTCCGAAATAGATGTTGTGCCTTTGGCCAGACAACAAAAACTTTGGGCAAAGTCTTCCAAGAAAGTAAACAGCCAAAGTTAGGTATGTGCAAGACACAACAACAAACCATTTCCTGCTCAGCTATATAATTGGAGGCAAGGTCTCTCTGGTTCCTGATCAAACCTCTTAAAGGCTACGATCCCAGAGACTCAGAGATAAATCTCGGAACCCAGCAGCTTTTTGCAGAGATGTGCCCGATACCCGCAATGAGCTACCGGCGACAGACCACCACAAGGGGAAAGGGTGTGTGTCTCTGCCTGATCCCACTTGGTGGCTCGGTGGCCACCATCTTCCATAGACCATTGGACAGACAGGTTTGGGCCTGCAGTGACAAGACATGCAAGGCCTCATGGGATTGGGCTGGACTCTGCACTTTCCTCCCCACCTCAATGAGACCCCGAGTCGCTGCCCATGTACGAACTCTCTGGCTCTTGATCACTCTGTTTAACGGCCATGATCCCAGAGTCTCAGAAACTAATTTCAGAACCCAGTGGCTTTCAGAAGAAATGTGTTCTGTCCCCACAGTAGGTTACCAAAGCTGGGTATTTCAGGTGGGAATAGGTTTTGTGCCTGGCGGTTCAGTGGCCGCCATCTCTTAGGGCTTCTGGACGGTTAGGTTTGGGACTGCAGTGAGGAGACATGCAGGGCCTAATGGGATGGTGGTGGAGCCGGCCCTTTTCCCCCCACCCCAACGAAACCCCGAGTTGTCTGGCATCTACGATTAACCTCTGTGGCTCGTGATCAAGGTGAGTAATGGCCATGATCCCAGAGATTCAGAGACAAATCTCGAAACCCAGTGCCTTTTAGCAGAAAAGCATCTGGATCCTGCAGTAGGTTACTGTCCCAGGTCCACCCCAAGGGGAATTGGTTCTGTCCCCCCAACTGCTCCTCCTTGGCGGCTCAGTGGCCTCCATCCGCCAAAGGCCTTTGGAAAGTCAGGTTTGGGCCCACACTCACGAAGATACGTGGGGCCTCACAGGATGGGTGTGGAGCTGGCCAATTCCTCCTCACCCCAACAAGAGCCTAAGTCATTCCCACAAACCACCTCTCTGGCTCGTGATAAAGCTGTTTAATGGCCATAATCCCAGAGACTCAGGAACGAATCTCAGAACCCAGCAGGTTTTTGCAGAAATTCCTCCAGATTTCGTTGTTAAAATTTCATAATTCCAAAATCATATGTTATTTATAACCAGCAATTGAAAAAGAATTGTCTACTGTTGCGTTTTCACCAGATCTAAGTGTCGGAATAAAATCCCAAATAATAATGGTGGGTCTTGTGTCAAAATATTGAATGTAATCAAAGTAGAGAGAATAATTGGAAATTATCTGCCCCACAGGTAGAGGAAGGCTGTGGAATGGCGTTATACTTGAGTTTTTAGTGATGGAAAATGGGCACGGTGAAGGGACGGGTGTTTCATTGTATGACCGAGACTTAAACCTGAAAGCTTTCTAAGTGCTCTCCCATTTTCCCCTGTTTTCTCCCATTTATTTAGAAATGGCCAGAGTAATAGTAGAGCAAGTAGGATGCTTACTTTGCATGTGGCCAACCCAGGAGTCCTCCAGTCCACAACATCTTTTCATTGCTCATTGGACATTGAGCGTCCCCTTGTCATTCCTAGAACATGTAATGTGGGGGTGTGGCATGGGGTAGGGGTGTCTTCTCCCTGGAGCTGTTCATTACGGACAGATCCAGTGCTTTCCTTTCTTGACTTTATTGTGATTTTTCCCTATCTGTCAGGTATGTCAAGTAGTCCATGTGTTTCAAGGCTCTTGTTTTCCCAGTTGTATAACTGGCCAGACTGTACACCTAAAGGGTCGGGTGCCCTTTCTGGACTCCTCTCAGTCAATCTGACACCATGCATATCTTTGCCTTTGGATCATTGCCATGGTTTTTTGAATATGGGAAGAAATTGAGTTTTCTTTTGTTATGGGGCCTCGGGATGCTCAGCAGTTATTTCTGGTGGTTCTCATAAGTTGCTTTTAGCAGTGTTCAAGGATCAAACCCTGTCAGCCTCATGCTAGGTAAATGCCTACCTACTGTACGCTTGTATGCACCAAAAACTGTTTTATTGTGTGTATGTTAAATTGTGACTGTGAGCCCATAGTGAAGTTAATTAGGACGAGAACAGCAGTGCATCACGGTGGGTTCTCGTCTTACAGATGCCACCTACCTTCGATGTCCAGAATCCCCTATGGTATCCCAAGCATCACTGGGTCTGATTAAAAACAAAACCCAAAAGGATTTTTGGGGGGATTGCTGAGCTCCTCCCAGCAACACTTCCCACAGATTTTCCCTTTCTGTAGACTTGCTTGGACTGTGAGAACTATGGAGATGTCCTCCACCTGCTTGGTTATTCAACTGCATTCCATTCAACATTGGACTAATTCTCATTGTGCATTTTGTTTGATTTCAGAACTCAAATCACAGGTTTATGATGTGACAATACAGCAATTTCTTTAGTGAACAGGGGTATTGCATACAAGTGTGCTGTAAGATTCTCTTGTTTAAACTATTATGCCATTGGAGTGCTCAGTGGACCGAGCATGCGACTTCAAAGGTGGGGTCCAGCTCCATCCCCACAACTACATCTATGGTCTCAGCATCACAGGAAAAATATCAGAGCCTGATGCCTGGACTAGAGGGTCTTTAAACTCAGTGGGTGCTGAAATCTGGAAATTTATTTTATTGTATTGTTTTTAAAACTCTTTATTAAAATGCCAGCATTTTAAATGTTATTGATAGTTGTATTTAGGCGTACAGTCTTTGAACACCAATTCCTGCATCAACTTCCCTCCACCCGTGTTCCCGTATTCCCTCCCCACCCAGGTGCCCACTCTGCCCCCACCTGTCATCTGGACAAGCATATGACTAGGTTTCAGTGGTTACAGCTTAGATCTCTTGTTTTCAGTTCTGTTGCATCTGTGTTTTGGGTAAATGGCTACACCCCTCACTCATGTCACTGGCATCAATGAATCCCTGATCCCTGTAAACTTCCGGGTCTCTTCCGCCCCAAATTTCTTTCCTTCTTTGTCCGGCTTCTCTCTAAACACTGGAATCAGGGATGATTTAAGCAGCCCCTTTACATTACATTTCCACATCCAGTGTTCGGTATTCCACAGATGAGTGAACAGCATCCTGTTTTTGTTTCTTTTTCTGGCTAACTTCACTCAAAACAGTATCTTCCAGTTCCAACCATGTTGGTGCATAAAAGCAGTAATTCTAAAACCTAAAAAATATATCAATTGATCTCCCTTTATTCATCGATTTATTCGAGTGGGTGTCAGTAACGTCTCCATGCATGCCTGTTGCGTGCTAGTGTAGCCCAATGACATCTGTTCTAGGAACATGGAGAGCCTCAAACCGATTTCTCAGGGTCTTGAGGAAGAAATCTGAACATCTTGTAGGTGGGCGTCCACGCAGTCTTTTGACGTCCCGTGGAATGCAGTCAGTAATGGGTCTAGGTCAGTGGTTGTCTGTAAACCTCATTTCGTGTCCAGCCCATCTGATTTTTGATACCTTAGAAGATCAGACAGCGTCC